ACGTTTTACGTCCAATGGATGATGATCTGATTAGTCGACTAATCGCAAAAATAATCGCCGACTAGTCGACTATCAGAATAATCGTTTGTGGCAGCCCTAGTCAGTGGATACTCGGGGTGTCTGTGGCTCAGGTGGTCGAGCAGATCAGCTCCTGATCGGGAGGTTGGTGGTTCGATCCCAGGCTTCCCCAGTCTGCATGCCAAGTGTCTTTGGGCAAGATACTAACCTCAAATTGCTCTGCGATGCATCCATCAGAGTGTGGATGTAGATTAAGTTTGCACTTGCGTTTATAAGTGCGTGAATGAGGCATGTTGTATACGGCGCTTTGAGTACTCCGGGAGAGTAGAAAAGCGCTGTGTAATCAGTCCGTACTGCTTTCCTGTCTGTGTTGGTCTAAACAAACGTGTGAAGTCAGACTTTTGGATGAATTCTGCAGGTTCTGAGGAGCATGATAAACAGTTATAATTATTTATGAAGCCAGATGACACAAATGAATTCGACATCAGGAGACACGTCTGCAAGACCTAAAGACCTGATGACCTGATGACTTCTACTCCTAAATGAAGAAGTAGACGAAAGTCTTGCCCAGCAGACGGGAGGAGGCCACTGGTAGTTGACCCACTACCTCCTGAGCCACCCCGAGTATCCACTGACCCAACATGATATCTCTACGTCTTCCTAAAAAAACTGTCACAGTCCAGTGTTAGACAAAAACAGTCTTCATACATTTCACTATAAACGTCATGTGACCATTCTTACCCCAGTAGGCTTCCCAGCCAGCATCTTGGATCCCTCCTGATACTCCCACTCGTGGATCAAACACCTCCTCATCAACTGTGACATAAAAACATCATGCGTGACATCACAGTCGCATGAAAAAAGACGGACCACAACAATAAATACGCTGTTACTGCTTCCATTGTGATTAAGAAGGTAAGGAGCCATGTGCTGCTGATAAAAGCCTGTAAGCTGACGGCCTGAAAGGAGAACTTCTGGCTATTTGCTGGTCTGGAACATTCAGCTGTGTGGACCCAAAGGTCTGATTGTGCAGCATCTACAAGCCGAGTGCAGCTGTGGCAGCAGCTGACACAAAAACTCACCGTGGAGAAAGTGGATACTCTCGCACATGCAAACCTTTGTAATATTACTCGTAATAAAAACAATAAAAGCAAAAAGATAATCGCATCACCTTTTTCCTCTTCTTTACTTTCCTCTTCTTCACTTGTATCTTCACAGTATTTTGAGGAACTCCTGTTAGACCTGC